GATCACCATATCATTTGCAAGCTTTTTACAATAGCCAATTTCATTTATATGTCTTCTATCGTGAATCACCATTGCTAGGGTTTTGTATTTGGTTTTAGGGTTTTTTGTTTCAGGAATAATTAGTCTTCATAATGGCTATGGTTGTGATCAGGAGGATGAGACGACCTCAACCATGGTCTTAGAATTTATTTTCATGGCCTGTACGAGATTTTGGAATGGACATGACTTGTAGTGACGGCCAACGTCCGTAGGTATAGGTGTTACAGATTTTTAGCTACGGAGGGAGGAAGGGGACAATGAGTTGTCACCCCCCCCCCATTGTCCTGTTTAAAACGAGCGCGCGTTTTTATTTTTGTTTTTCCAATTTTCATTTGTTTTATATATTATCATTAGTGTTTGATATATTAACAATAAAATGCAAATGGCCTAGTGGTAACCACATCAGCGCATAAGGATTCAAAGGCTGGAGGTCAGGGGTTCGATCCCTGCCTCCAGCAATTTGCCATTTTTTTGTTTATTTTCAGGGAATCTAGTGCATACTCAAGCCAAGCTTCCACCATGGATACTCACCATCCAGCACGCCAGATGGCCAGATGGCCAGATCTGGTGGCCACCATTGAAGGTGCACCAAAAGACCAAGTCAACGCCAACGCATTGGATCAGAAAAGTCAGATTGGACCAACATCATTGGGCCAACATTATTGCTATACACACACCTAAAATCAGGCCCATCTCACTCCTTTTTATATTTTGTTTATTTTATTTAATTGTTTAATTTTGTTTAAATTTAATTACTAACCAATAAATTAATTTCTTTTTTATCAAAAAAAATCACAAAAATATTTTTTACCCAATTAAATTTCAGAATTTTATTTTTCATTAATAAATATTAATTAAATTAATTAGGATATTAATTTTAGATAACTTTCATTTATCTTATAAATATTTAAAATCAATTAGAATAATTAGGTTTTAACATTAGTTTAATTATTTTATTTTCTTTCCTAAAAATAACAAAAACTCCAAAAATATGTCATTAATTATTTTTCATTTATTAATTTAATAATTAATTAATTTAGCGTTTAATTTTAGGACTTAATTCCTTTTCTTTAAAAATAATAAAAACAACAAAAACATTTTCTTTAATTAGGAGGGTCAAAACCCTAGCTTCGCATTCGATTCAATTGTCTTGCACGCTTTATTTTTCCTTTATTCAATTATTGTATCTGCTCCCGGTTTGTAATATTTAATTAGGACATTTATTTTTCCGTTTTTTAAATTTCAAAGGGTTGCTTTTGGCGATGTAAATACCTGATGCCTTGTAATAATTTAGTTTAAAATTTCGCACCTTTAATTTCTGCAAATATACAACTGCTAGATGTTTGATAATAGGGTTTGCATGACAAGAATGAATGCTTAATCTAAAATTAATTAGATCACCTTAAACACGTGCAAAGATAAAAATAACTGAAATCAACACACTCGCACATGCGCACTCCTAGGGTACACCCCGCTTGGTTGTCTTCGTAAACGGTCATTGAGTATAGGTCACTTTAGAGGTCGTCCTCTTGTCTAAAAGATCATAGTTTCCTCGAAATGGTTGCCTCGGATATTGTTGCCTCGAATACATGATCTAAGACATTAGGGTTACCGCTAAGACGTCCTAACGTTGCTTTAGTGACTGTATGTCCCTCTTTCGAATTGACCCTCAAACTCCAACGACGGTGCTACCTACTCACTAATAGTAGGATAGCATTGTCTAAAGGACATTAGCATAGAACGATTCATTTTTTCGAGTAGGTAGATTAGCTCTTAAGTACTTGCTCAATCCAAACAAAATTTTTCACACTTACACTCCTTTACAAACAAAGTTTTCAAAAACACTTCATTACACTCTTGAAGACAGAAGCAAGAGTTAAATCGAAGTTAAAACAAAAAACTTTTCAAAACCCATAAGCACAAAGAAAACAATTTTGAAAATGATGAGCAAGTACCTAAGAGCCCGTAGATAACTACGGATAGAAAGGATGCTAATACCCTCCCTTTCTATAATCTACCCCCCGTACTCAGAAATATCTCGAAAAAGGAATTTTTCTGTGCTTTTTTTCTTTCCTTGTTGGATAAAATAAAAGTCGGTGGCGACTCTTGCTTACCGCGACATTTTGCGAACAAAAAAATACAAAACGCAAACCAGCATTCCAAAAACAGTCAGTTCTTCCCACCGTATCACAGAAGTGTTTTCTCCAAGCGCTTCCAATCCATCCTTTACAAGATCCCAAAGACCTTGATACCTGAGTAAAATTTTCATCTGTTTGCACCAATTCTCATAGTTCTCTACTTTCAGAATTGGTAGAGTTGCTGGATAATTTGCATTCCCATAACTCGCCATCGTGAATTCTTCTTCTTCCTCAATCGTTCTTGATTGATACTTCCCTTGAATCGATTAACCAAGCTCATGATACCAGATGTTTGAAATCCACCAAATATCTATGATGAATTTCTATCAATCTTGATGAACAAGATTGATATCACCACACAATGACAATGAATTATGAGAAAATAAAAGAAAAGAAAGAAGACAATTATTTTCTGCAGAGTTTCTCTCTGCCCATAAACTGTGAAAAACTTTATTAATCACTTGCAATTGCAAATTCTGTGATTATAATGAATTGACTTAAATTATAAAATTAGGGGTTACTCCCTCTATTTATAGATTTAGGTTAGCTTGCTTCTAAGCCAAAGCTCAAAACTATAAAAGTCTAAAATACCTATTTTGGTACTAAATCAAATCTATCTATTTTAGATCTAAATCAAATTTATCTAAATCTAAAATCAATCAAATTTGTGTGTAGCTTGCTTTGATCCACAAACTCTTCGGCTGACAACCTCCATTTGACACACATTGTTTCGACACAATCGAATTACAATTTAACAACATATTTATGAAAAAGAAGTAAAAGAAATAATTCTAATCTTTCATTCTGGCAAGTATCGAACGAGAGCCCTAAACACATATCAACTTCGTATTAAGCATGATATGTGTTTTGAGATCTTATTGTTTAGGGCTCTTCTTTAGGGTTTTGTGTGTGTTGTGTTAATGTGTTATTTTTAGGCAAGTGAAATTGAAAGCTACAAACTAAGCACGGAGGTTGGAAAACCTAACCGAGGTGAAAAGTGATTTATTTTTTAATTAAAAATAAAATATGCATAAAGGTCCCACTTTTAATGAAATAAAAACATAAACTGATTTTTTTTATAAACAAGCTCATTGTATTAAAGACGAGTACTAGGGGTACTCAATCCTTGATACATGAAAAAAGAGCGAAACAACAAAACCATCCAAGCAAAAAACTTAGGATTTAAAACCAAAGCATCTACCCAGATCGACACACCAATAAACCTGTTTATGACTTAAAGAGTCATTGATTTTTTACATGAAACTATTCCCGAATTAAGAATTTAACCATATCTAAAATATTCCAAGAAACTAAAAACTCCCCTCTGAAAAGAATGTTATTCGTGTTTCGAATTCCATCAAAAGGCGTTAAAGATCCAAAAGAGATTCAACGTCGGATAGAAATCAAAACATGTAAGCTAAATTAGTTTATTTTTCAATTTTTTAAAACTAAAATCGACAAAATAATTAATATTTTAAAAATAAAAAATATGTCGTGTACAGGTATTTACCTAAAAAATTTATTATAAGAATAAAATCGTTATAAATATATTATTTATAGTAGTGAATTATTCAATTGAAAATCCTATTCTCTTTTTTTCACATGTTCAAAGGAATAATTTGTGTTATCTTTATAAAAATATATTTTTGTTTTTTTTTTCAAAAAAAAAAGTTTAAAAAACATAATTCATTTTTTATTAATTAAATATTAATTTTGACATCTAACAATATAAATATATATTACTAAAATTTTTAAAATATAGTCAAATCACCTAATTTTCGAAAAATATATATAAAAAAAGATTTTTATAAAAAACTATTAGAGATAACTTTAAATTTAAGTAATTTTTTAAAATTTTGATTAAAAAAATATAATAAAATACTTAAAATACTTAAAATGATTTTTTATGGATAATTATTTAAATTATTTATAGATTTTATTAAAGAAAACCTTTATAGAGCTATGTTGTGGTTGACTTAAATCTTTTTTACTAATTATTTCATTCCATATTTGTGATAGGATACTTGTGTTTTCTTTTATAAGCGTGGCCGGTGTGAGCATTTGATCTTTATCCATAAACAAAATTTATTTGTTTATCATTTACCTATCTCTGCCTTAAACAAATTAAGAAAACAAAGAAAAACAATTCTAAATGACTCAATTTTTTAAAAAGAAATTCAAAACAAACTATCAACAATTGGAAAAAAAAATTAAAAAAATCAACTAAAATATATCAATTAAGTATTCTCATAGAAGATGCATATCAATTAATTATTAATTTAGCTTCATATTCTCCATTATCAAAAATAAAATGACATGAAATAATAATAATTTAAATAAAATCTCATAAGGAGTTGCAGTCACCTCCCTCCTATATGATGTAGGTTAGCAATTCTACTCACAAAACTCACCAACCCACATGTCACATCCAAACCTTCCATTCTTGTTCATCCAACGGCCACGTTTCCTTCTCAACTAACCCATTGTCTTACCAACCTACACTAATGTCACCAACCCGTCTATATATACTTCCCATTTTCCTTGTATTTTTTCAGGAAATTTTTTCTTTCCTAACTCAAAAATAAAAAACTCCTTTTTGCCATGTTCCATTTCCTATAATCAAAATAAATATTTTGTTCCTTTCCGTTTTTGTTACCATTCCTAACTGCCATTCACCTATTTCCCCAATTCCCTCCTCTAAACCATATAACATATAACTACGTAACACAATCCCCACAAAACTCAAATATAAATTGAAGATCTATTTCTTCAAACACAAACTATAAATATATTCATAATTTCAATTTCATCATTCACAAAATCATGGAGTTTTCAAATGGAGATCATACCAATGGTTCTTCATTGAATCTTTGCATTGGTGAAACTAACCCTGACCCTTTGAATTGGGGTATGGCTGCGGATTCAATGAGAGGCAGTCATCTTGATGAGGTGAAGCGTATGGTTGAAGAGTATCGGAAACCGGTCGTGCCATTAAGTGGAAAGGGATTAACAATTTCTCAAGTGGCTGCAATCGCTACCCACAATACCGGTGTGACGGTTGAACTTGCCGAAGAGACACGCACTGCCGTTAAAGCTAGTAGTGATTGGGTGGTTGATAGTATGAATAAAGGGACTGATAGCTATGGAGTGACCACTGGGTTTGGTGCAACTTCTCACCGGAGAACAAAACAAGGTGGTGCTCTCCAAAATGAACTCATAAGGTAATTAATTAACTTTCTCTTAACTTATACATTCATTAAACTTATTTACTAGTTATGCATTTTCATTTTATTTGTTTTCACATAGATAAATCTATCTAATTTTATTATGAGTTTAAATATAGTGTGCTATCCATTTAAAATATTTTTACACATATAATTAATAAAAAAAAAAAATTTACAGTATTATGTAATTTTAATATTTTAAAAATAAAAATGTAATTTATTATATAAATATTTATTTTAAAAATTTTATACTGATCGTACATTTTCTTTTTTCTCTTTCATTAATATATATGACAAAATATATATCAATATCGTGTTAATAGAGTTGACAATACTACTGTATCTAAGAAAAATAACTCAGATTAATTTTAATTTTAGAAAGGTATTAAAAAATTACTTAGTTAAAAAAACCTGTAGTGAAAGGTTTAAACTTCTAACTAAATGGATCAATAACTAATATATATTAATGAGATATTTGTATTAAAATATTGCATAAGTATTTTAAAAACTAGTGACTAAGTGATATTATTGAGCAATTTGATTGAAGGGTTATTTTAAAGAAATATTTAAATTTAACACGAGTGACAAAATATTTAATTTATATAAAAAAATACAAACAATTACATTATATGAATAATATAAAACAAAATTGACAACTGCAACGTAATGAAATTTAATAATTAATACGTTTAAATATATTATTTTATGAACTTAATTTAATCAACTCTATCTATAATTATAAGTTTTTTCAGAAAAATATATTATAATAAGTAATAATATTTAAATTAAACTTATGTCTAAAAACATATTTAAATGCTATGTTAACATATGTTGGTGAGAAAAATAAATAACTTGTGAGTCGGTTTTGTTTAGTTCATTAATGGATTGGTTAAAGTGAATATTTATATTTTTCTATGTTGGGGTAGGTGGGTTACCAGTGATCTGCTAGATGTAGTTAGGTAGGGGGTTATGTCAAGATTTGATACTTTTTTAATTGAAATGAACATAAGTGTGTATTCCTTTTTTGTGCTTTTGTTTGTTTCTTTATAAAACGTAAATAGTGGATGTGTGTAACTTGTGAATGTAGGATGTAATAACCACTTGTTTCTATAATAACAAGTCATAATTATATTTTGTAATCTAAAATAATAAATGATGGGTTAGTCTTAGCAATAAGCCATAATTAAGAAAAAAAATATCCGAAAAAATTAGTGTTATGCCTTTTAAAATTTTCTCAAATAATTTGTTTATTTTAAAAAGCATAATCCCAGTATGAAAAGAAATAGAAAAAAACTTTGAACGAACATGAGAGGATTAAAAATATTTAAATATAAAAACTCTAAATAAAAATGTGAAAAGAAATATTAGTAATGTAAAAATATTAGCTAAAGAAGACAGTTAAAAACTCTTTTTTTTATGAAATTAATATGAAAACTCTATCTTCATGAAATTAATATGAATTGTACACTTCAAAAAATATCATATTTGTTGATAGGACTCACATAAATTTTATTTAATAAAATACTAAAATGTTAAATATTTAAAAAAAAAACTACATTAATTCATTGTAAATCTCTATTATTGAAATAGTTTGTATTATATAGTTTAGTTCACGTGTATTGTGATTGAAAAATAGTTTTTGTGTGAAGGCATCTATTACATTGAATACTAAATTTTCTAATGCAAAGTTTATATTATTATAATAATAATAATAATAATAATAATTATTATTATTATTATTATTATTATTATTATTATTATTATTATTATTATTATTATTGAAATAATTGAAATATTCTAAAAAAATTGAAATAAGTTGATAATAACTAAAAAAATAATTGAAATAAAAATTGACATATTTTATATATCAAATGTAAGTATAAGTCTCACGTTATAAAAAAAAAGTTCAATAGTTAATAAGAGATCTATAAATTTAAGATTCTAAAATTTTGAATTAAAAATTAATATTCAATTTATTTTTTATGTGATTGTTGAAAATCTAAATACCCCTCATGATTCAACATCTATATACCCCCGATATTCCATTCCTAAAGATACTTGGCTGACATGAGATCCTAAAGATATTCTTGCATATCTATTTTTATATTTTTTTAAATCACCTCGTGGCAAACATATAGAAAGAAGAAAAAGAAAAGAACAATGTTAATAAAATGTTATCCAAAGTTAAGGCGCAAAAGCCTAGAAAAAAGTATTTATTTACGGACAGAAACAACACTATTCCACAATTTATTTCTATGTAAGATAGAAAATGCTTCTTTAGCTACTAACTTTATTCTTGACATTTATTTATTAGTCAGACTCGTGGCATTATAAAGATCACCTATAGGTACGGAATTGCATGTGCCATAAATAAATTGTTCAGCATACTTTTTACCTGTGCTGAATTTCTTTCTGTTTATTATTATGGACATTTAAAAGTTCTTTCACGTGTACAGTAAGTTTGTAGGTCCAATCCTCTAATAATTTCGATAGTTGGAAAATGAAAATGTTTTTTTTTTTATTTTAAGCGAGAAAAGTGTTTTTTGTACTTGGAGAAAAAAAACATCAATTTGTTGTGTAGCAGTAGAAGTGTCAGATTTCATGTGAAGAATCATCCAGAATAGTCTTTTTATCTGTTTATTTATGGTTTAAGAAAACAAAAAACTTTATCACAGAAATGTATATCTACATTCATCATGGATGGACCACCAAGAATTCCACAATATATAATGACAAACCATTTACTATTCCCGTGCATAAACCCACTCATTTCACGTGTCCATATTTAAATGTCATAAGTTGGAAGTTCCTTTTTGACATTATAGGATTTTTTTAATTTTCATTAATTTTTTGTCAGAGAATAATATTCTTTGCATGTATGTATGTTTAAGCCGGTATATTATCAAGCACTGACACCCAAAATAAGATCAACACTGTCACAAGAAAAGATATAATAATTCATACATAATCACAAGTGTTAATACAAATGTTCAATACTAACACAGACACGTTATCTCATATATGATTATTTTTTGTGAGAGAATAATATTCTGTACATGTATGTTTAAGCCGGTAAGATTAACACTCACGAGAAAACATATAATAATTCATACATAATCACAAGTGTTTCAATACTAACAGAGACACGTTACCTCGTATATGACTAATCATTGTACGAAACATGAGACATAGAAGTATGGACATGAATAATAATTTAAAAAAGAAATAATAATTGATGGCCAAAAAGCTTTGAATTTGAATTGATACTAACATAATGTGAGAATTATTTCATTGCAATAGATTTCTGAATGCTGGGATTTTCGGCAATGGAACAGAAACAATTCAAACATTACCTCACACAGCTACAAGAGCTGGCATGTTGGTTAGAATCAACACACTGCTTCAAGGATATTCAGGAATAAGATTTGAAATCATGGAGGCAATAGCAAAATTTCTGAACCATAACATAACACCATGTCTTCCATTAAGAGGCACAATCACTGCATCAGGTGACTTGGTTCCTTTATCGTATGTCGCTGGGCTTTTAATCGGAAGACCGAACTCGAAATCCATTGGACCCGACGGAAAAATTCTCAACGCTAAAGAGGCTTTTCAACTAGCTGGAATCGAAACTGGTTTTTTCGAGTTGCAACCTAAAGAAGGTTTGGCACTGGTGAATGGTACTGCTGTTGGATCAGGTTTGGCTTCATTGGTTCTTTTTGAGACAAATTTACTTGTTGTTTTGTCGGAACTTTTGTCGGCGATTTTCGCTGAGGTTATGCAAGGAAAGCCTGAATTCAGTGACCATTTGACTCATAAGCTGAAACACCATCCTGGTCAGATTGAGGCTGCTGCTATAATGGAACATATTTTAGATGGAAGTTATTATGTTAAGGCTGCACAAAAAGTTCATGAAATTGATCCACTTCAGAAGCCTAAACAAGACAGGTACGCGCTTCGAACTTCGCCTCAGTGGCTTGGACCGCAGATTGAAGTGATTCGACACGCAACGAAGATGATTGAGAGGGAGATAAATTCCGTGAATGACAATCCACTTATTGATGTTTCAAGGAACAAGGCACTTCATGGAGGGAATTTCCAAGGTACACCGATTGGCGTTTCCATGGATAACACGCGTTTAGCCATTGCTTCGATTGGAAAACTCATGTTTGCGCAATTCTCTGAGCTTGTGAATGATTTTTATAACAACGGATTGCCTTCGAACCTCACCGCGAGCCGTGATCCGAGCTTGGATTACGGCTTCAAAGGAGCGGAAATTGCAATGGCATCATATTGCTCAGAACTTCAGTACCTTGCTAATCCTGTCACTACTCATGTTCAAAGTGCTGAGCAGCATAACCAAGATGTTAACTCCTTAGGCTTGATTTCATCAAGAAAAACCACAGAAGCCGTAGAAATACTGAAACTCATGTCATCGACTTACTTAGTCGCATTGTGCCAAGCAATTGATCTTAGGCACATTGAAGAAAACTTGAAAACTGTAGTCAAGAACACAGTGAGTCAAGTGGCAAAGAGAATTCTCACAGTTGGTGTAAATGGCGAGTTGCATCCATCAAGGTTCTGCGAGAAGGATTTGCTAAATGTCGTTGAACGCGAGTATGTGTTCGCGTACATTGATGACCCCTGCAGTGCTACATACCCTCTAACGCAGAAGCTGAGACATGTACTAGTTGATCATGCATTGCAAAATGGCGATAAGGAGGCGAATTCAGCAACCTCGATTTTCCAAAAGATTGGAGCTTTTGAGGAAGAGCTTAAGACCCTTTTATCTAAAGAGGTTGAAAATGCAAGAACTGAAGTTGAAAATGGAAACCCTGCAGTTCCTAACAGGATTAAGGAATGTAGGTCTTATCCATTGTACAAGTTTCTGAGACAAGATTTGGGGACAAGTTTGCTGACAGGTGAGAAAATTAAGTCACCTGGTGAAGAATGTGATAAGGTTTTCTCAGCATTGTGTGATGGAAGTTTTATTGATCCTATGTTGGATTGTCTTAAGGAATGGAATGGTGCTCCTCTACCTATATGCTAGTATTGTGATACCTTATGTAAGTTTTTTCCTTTTTCCTTTTTCATGTACTTTAATGTTGTTTATTTTATAAAGATGTTGGACATGTATTTTAAAATGTAATGACTAAATGTATGTTTTAATTTTATGTTATATATACTTTAATACGTAACCTTGGTTTTTTGCTACCATAATATATTATGATCACTGTTTTTACTATTTAGTTTTCTGTTCACGTGAGATTTAAACTTATAACACTATAAAAATCATTTTAAATAACTGAAACAGACAAATTTATGTTTAGAATGTGTTCCTTGTATTCCTTTGCCTTCAAGTATATCAGCAAGATAGCTACACGTTTCTTAGTTAAGTATACAAATAAATCTTTGTAACATCAATATAAACAATTTCAAATGAGATAATTATACGTGTTTAGATGTAGTTTTGTTGAAAAAATTGTGTTCCCTACAAGATAATAGAGTCAAATACTTATGGATTAGAAGATTTAAAAAAAAAAATTCTAATGCCATATGCATTTCCTTCAATATTTATCTTTATGAATGAAAGATGGTTGATTCGTTCAATCAAAACAAATTTAATATGAAATTACTAATATAAGTCATTCACGATTCGAGTTAGAGCAACCGAAAAGAAAATATAATAATATCCGTAAACATATCAACTTCAAAAGTCAAAGAATAAAAGAGAACATACCCCTACAACTCTAATATGATCTAGTATCTTTTTGTTGGTCAAATTAATAGTATGATCTAGTCTAGTTTGCAATTTTAATTTCTTAAAAAGAGTAGGGGAAGAAAAGCCAAATTCCAACTTATTTAAATTTATTTCTTAAAGAGCAGGGGAAGAAAAGGCAAACTCAAACTCTAACACATCACTACGCCAAAAATGATTTTTTTTATCACCTAATTTAATAGCACTTTTAAAAAAAATGCTATTAAAATGGAAAAAACACATTTATAATAGCACTTTTTAATCGGGCGCTATTATATAATACAGACTATGTAATTATGATAGCACTTTGTACCAGAACCTTATTATTAAACTTCTTTAAGATAACATTTTGTATAAAACGCTATTATTTGACTACCTATATAATAGCATTTATTAAAAAGCGCTATGTTATATATAATAATGAATTAATTAATTAATTGATAAAAATAAAAAAAAAACACATTTTCAGAAAATTGGGTTTCCCGCATCCACTCACCGCCAAAAACAAAAACACTATCTTCCTCTGCTTCCTTCTTAGCCATTGATTCTCCCAACTGATTCACCGCCGTCAAATCTTCCTCTGCTTCCTTCGGTTTTCATTGATTCACCGCCGTTAGTCATTGATTTACCACCGTCATCCCTTCCTTCGGTTTTCACCCGGATCCATTCTTCAGCCATCAGATTCACCATCGATTCAGATTCAGATTCACTTCTCAAACGACACTCAAACAGAAGGAGGAAACACCGAAAAGAAAGAACAACCAAATCTCATTCTCCGTCAAACTCAACCCTTTGTCATCTCACCTACGTCGTCGTCATCCCTCTCTTCATTTGTATCCGGTAATATTTCTTTTTTCAGTTTCTGATATCCGTTGATTCTCTGTGTTGTTTGTGAGCGTTATGATGTCTTTGTGTTGACGGATATTCGTGATTTTGAGTAGCTGTAATGAGGGTTTGTGAGGTTAAGTTGCAGTTGTGAGGGTTCGTGAAATTTGAGTGATAAGGCTTGTGTTATTGATGTGTGCCTGAATGGTGAGAGATGAGCTGGTTATTGATGTGAGCAGTTGTGAGTAGTGGCATGAAGTGTAAGGTATTTGGCCATTGAATTAGTTTTAACTAAGGTCTATGTGTTGAAGTTGTGTGCAATTTTCAATTTCTAGTCCTAGTTAACCGTAAATATCAATGTTGAGAGAGATTACACGGTGGAAAGAGTTGTATTTGAGACCAGCCCATGAGTATGGTTTTGAATGAGAAGGAACTCATGTTGAGTTTATGAGAGGCGGAAGTGATATCTAGTGGGAATTGAATGATATAAGTGTTATGCCATCTGAGTTGAGTGCAGAAGAAAGAATGTAGACATGGAAGAAGGAAGAGAAGAGAGGAATGAAGTTTTATGGAGAGCAAAAAAGTCAGTACATTGGTTGAAGATGAGTTGAAAAGTTTGTTCTAGTTTGAGTGATAAGGCTTCTGTTGTTTTGGTGTGATTTAGTCACAATTAATCGATTCTTCTTTTCAATCCAAGCAAAAATTGGCATTTCGTTAATGTTGGATGTTTTTTTGATTTCAGGAAAAACTTGATCAGTGGCTCTGTAGACAGCAAGAGGGTGGATCAAGACTTGTAAACTTTGATATAATTAACTACATTCAGGTTGGTTTCATCATTGTTCTATGTTTTTCATACAATGTTGAGGTTTTATTATTGTTCTCTGTTTTATCATTGTCTTTTGACATGATTCTCAATCCTAAACAAATGAGTTTAATCAACAACAATGGTCTCATATTAATCTCACTATGGTTTTTGCTCCACTTTAGCTCTAATCTTCTGCTCCAAAACAGAAACCTCAATTTCAAGACCAAACATTCTATTCAAAGCATGCATATTCTCAAGTGTTTCACTCAAAGTCCTACTATCACTCCCATCACATCTCAAATGTTGCATTGGACCATGAAGCATTTTATTCACTATACCTCTACCAAGATCATCCACTGCTTTTTGTGTCTTCTTATTTATATCCTCATCATTCATTTTACCTAAATATTTCTCAACCTCAGCAATCCTTAACCTTTCAGCATAAGCTCTCAGTTTCTTGATAGTAGGAACAGTTTCTAACGAGTCTCTCCATGCTTCGAATTGGCCCGATTCTTCGCCGATGATCACTTGTGCTTCCATTGCTTTTCTTAGTCTGTCCTCTTTGTTAGCAGCCACTACCTCTTTAAGGTTGTCGACGTTGTAAACTTTGACTGATTCGAGGTCATCGACGCACGAACCTACGTTCCTCGGAACAGAAATATCGACGAAGAGGCGCTTTCGTCCCATTTCTTCGCTTGCGAAAGGAAGTTCCTTAACATGTTGTTTTAAAATCAAAGGATTCTCTGATGCCGTGCTTGTGAAAACTACATCCGCTTCGCCTACGCATTCGAGCATATCAGAAAGCGGTTTGTAGATTATCTCGACATCATTTATTTCATCGCGGATCGCAGATACTCTCTCTTTGGTTCGATTAACTACTACCATATTTTTACACCCTTTTGCAACCAAATGCTTGATCACAAGCTTCCCCATTTTGCCAGCTCCAATAACTAGCATTCTTGCATTTCCATGTGAGGCTTGATCAGGTAACTTCATCACTGCCAACTCGACCGCAGCCGAGCTCACAGAAACTGCTCCGGCCGAAATGTTGGTTTCGGTTCGGACTCTTTTGCCGACGGTGATTGCGTGCTTGAATAATCCACTGATGTTTCTTCCAAATCCATTAACTCCTTGTCCTGCTTTCACAACTTGCTTGACTTGTGCAAGGATCTGACCTTCTCCCATTACAAGAGAATCAAGTCCTGCTGATACTTCAAAAAGGTGTTGGGTTGCATCTTTGTTGTATAGCAGAAATAGATACTGTGAAAGCTCTGATGCAGGTATGCCACTTGTCTGCAAAACAAGATTATGTGCGTAGTTTATCAGAATTTTGCTGATGATCTCTTGTTTTAGTCCCTTCAACTTCAACGTTGATAAAACGCGTTTGAAGAAATCGAGATTAAGAACATTAAGCGATTTTCCCCACCATTCTGAAGGCGTTTCCGGTTCAAGGATTCGAGAAGAGAAACTATGGTCGAGTTTCTGTAAACCCGAAGTAAGCTGCTCTTTGCATACATTGTTGGCAATTGAATTGACTAATCTGTTAACAAGTTTAATCTCTTCTGAAATAGGTAGGAGAGTTTCGCAACGGTGAAGAGCAGATATTGTGTTTGCTGTGTTTGAGAGTACTGTCTCTTTAAGATATGATTCGGCTCGCGTCAACAAGTTTTTCTCGGCGAACTCTTCTGTCATTTCTAGAAAATGAGCTATGCATCTTAGCATAGAAACATTGGAGAGAGTAAATTCAATGTTAATTCCATAACAGAATTTTGCAGCTAGCTCAAATGCTTCTGCACCGCCCGGTACACTCGGGAAACTTATGCGCGAAACTTTTGAATCTCTTGATTCTAACAATAGTTTCCGAATTCTTCCACTACGAGAAACTAGAGGAAACTGTGAAAAAACAGTTGCAAACAACTTGTTAGTACTTCAACATTGAAACATTATTTTCATGCATATTAACAATCAATACATAAAAATGCTATTTTATGTTGTTCTTTTTACCTTGTGAAGTGATAAGCTTGAAGCTCCAATTTCAATGGTAAGATCACTAGAGACATCAGAGATTGGCCTGTAAGAAACAAATCTAGCTGAATAATTGCATATACTAGACATGGAAAATTTAATATAATGTAGCAAGAACTTAAGTAGCTATATATATATATTACAAAAATGAAAATATAATAATAGAGACCTTGGAAGAGTCTTTTCATGCAGAAAATGTGTATGCAATTTAATATATAATGAAGGAGGTCAATGTATGTGTTTTGTTAACCACAAACAGAAAAACAATGTAATCTGGCAAGGTCAAATACTTATATGTGAATGACCCCAATTCATTAAATGCATAATTTGAGGGTGACTAATCTTAAGTCCCTTACATTACCTCATGTCTTTATATCTAGGGCGTAGATCTCAATGGTGACTAATTTGATAGTGAAAACTTAATATACGGTCCAATCGAACGAGTCATAAATCAAATTCTAATATCATATTAATTAGCATGTGTGAGATGGGTTTAACATATGAATCACCAACACAAATACAAATATCAGACATGACATCTACATTAATCTGTCGACACTAGACAAATTTTTTTTTAAAAGTGTCACTGTTACAAACTCATTCTTACAAAATCAATTTGTAAGATGAAGACTGTCTG